AAGATTTATTTATTATTATTTTAATAAATTTAAAAAAAATAAAACATTAATAAATTATTTTTCAGCTTATTTTCTATTACATAATCAAATACTGAAAATTATTTTTCAACTTATTTTTTATTACATTATTATATATCAAAAAATAATTTATTTTTTTACAATTTATTTTTTTAAAAAATATTTTTTAACAAACAAACGGCCTGGTTTTTTTTCTCTATGAACGTCTACTCGAAGATATTATTTAGCAGTTCATGGGACCAAAATTTATAGGAATTTGACTAGTCCTCAACAGGTGATTGTAAAGTGAAAATGAAGTCCACAATAGTGAAAACACGTTACAATTTGATGGGCTGGAACCGTTCTACTACTTGACATTTCAGCATGCGCGTCACTGCTTCCGTTGCTCACGCGGTATGTCGGACAGCACTCGTGCATCGATTTCAAAGAACCGCCAAGGACCCAGAGTTTTTCTGTCGCTGTCTTCACTTCCACCTGAAATATATGGAGCTAGCACGAAAGAGAAACACAGAGGTTCCATGGAAAACGAATCCTCTAGTGTTATTTATTTCTCCTTGTACAGAACATAGGCTACTCAATTGAGGATCCAATATCACTCACTAGAAAGAAAGAAAGAGAGGGAAATAGTCGTGTACGAGGTCATGGCTGTAGAAGCAAAAACGCTTGAAGAAACACCAACATGGGCTGTGGCTACTGTTTGCTTCTTTTTGATATTAATATCCATCTTTATTGAGTATTTGCTCCATCTTTTAGCTAAGGTACGTGCATATAACACTCGGAATTTGACATGCAACTACGCAAGAATATTGATCAACCACCCCTTTTGAAATACAAGCATGCTCATTTTATCATCTCCGTTGATCATTTGGTATTAACTTCCCACTTCTTTATTTTTTGGGGACACAGTATTTCAACAAGAAAAGGAGGAAGTACCTCATTCAGGCTCTGTACAAGATCAAAACAGGTGATCGTACACTGCAAAATATAGATATAACAGTAAAGATAATTTCTCACAGATTGCTATCTTGCTAATTCATTACTAAACCTAAACCTTTATTAATTTTTGTCTGTATAGAGTTGATGCTACTGGGTTTCATCTCATTGTTGATGACTGTGTTGGAAAAGCCAGTTGCAAAAATATGTATCCCAAAGAGTGTTGGCGAAACCTTTCTTCCCTGTGGTAGCGTGGATTCAAGTGATTGGAGTGAACAAGAAACCAAATGTTCAGAGCAGGTATAATTTTGTACACCCATATTTACGTATCGTTATATAATTTGGAAGAACAATCTTTAACACTAATGTTTATTTCGACTGGATTCTTGAACAGGGAAAGGCTTCTTTGATGTCCACGGAAGGTATGACGCAACTCCGGTACTTGATTTTTGTGCTGGCTTCCTTCCATTCTGTGTCAAGCATTCTCACATTCGGCTTAGGGATGGCCAAGGTAAATTTTGCCTTTTCTTTTCATAAATTATATACTAATATTTTATTTAATAATTTAAATTATTGAATTGAAAATAATTATTTTATATAATATTAAAATTTTAATAATTAAATAATTATAAGTTTGAATCTCATCATTTCTATATATTTTATAAAAATTAAATATAAAATAGTACAAGTATATATAAGTTTTAAGTTTAAAATTTTTTTACTTAAAAATATATATTAAAAATAATACAAATTATATCCTAAAATCTCTTATCTAATAATTTAAATTATTTAATTGAAAAAAATTCTTTAATATATACAATCAAAATTTTCTATTTTATAATTTTGATGTTTTCATAATTATAATCTATTATTAAAGAATTTTCATTTAAAAGTATATAATAATATAAACGATATCCTGAAATTTTATCTAATAATTTAAATTATTATATTAAAAATGATATTTTAACATATATAACCAAAATTTCTCATTTTACAATTTTGATATTTCCATAATCTATTATTAAATTTTTTACTACTCTTGAGAACAAAATCGATTCAAGAAAGCCACCAAAAAGACATGGAAGTTGTATTGAAATATGCCCACATATACATGTGAACCCTTAGTTTAAGTGATTTTTGAAATAGGAAAGTTGGACTCGTATTTGAAATTTGCGTTTTGCTTTCAGATGAGAAGATGGGAATCATGGGAGGCAGAGACAAGGACACTGGACTATCAATTTTCGACAGGTAAGATTAAATATTAATGGTCGCGTTATTCTTTCTGGGACCCTTTTAATTTTGTTTCACCCAGGAATCAATGTTATGGCCTAAAATTTTCATCATTAAATCGAAAATATCTGTGTCTGTAATTCGACATGATTTAAATTTGTGATTACATTACTTGCAAAATTTCATGGTTATATTGGTCACAATTTAGAAAATAAAATAAAATTAGAATACAAGCTTATCAGGCCGACTAGGCTCCAAATGCCGACAATGCTACAAGCTTAGATAAGGTTTTAAATTAATCTGGGTATGAATTGACATGGTGTAAATCAGTAACGGCTTATTTATTTATTTTTAAAATGATATTGTTTTTTATTTTAAATTAAATATTAAAAATATGTGTTTTTGAATTGACTTGGTCAATCTGAATCAATGAACTCATTACCCGGCCTGGGACATGTTTAATAACTTTGTCTAAGGAATATAAAAGAAAGCAACATCAGATGAGCTACTGAATTATTGAAGTTTGTTACTTATCTTGCTGTTACTGATCATACACAGATCCCAGGAGATTCCAGCTCACTCATCAAACATCATTTGGGAAGCGGCATTTGAGATATTGGAATGAAAACTCAGTTCTTCGCTGGCCGGTTAGTTAAGAAAAAAGGAAAAGAATGTTAGATCATGTTTAAATTTTATCTGCTTATTTCTGTAATGTTGTTGTTTTGCTAATCTTTCGCAGGCATGTTTCCTCAGACAGTTCTATGGTTCTGTCTCCAAAGTGGATTATTTCACACTTAGACATGGATTTATCATGGTAGATACCAACCTCAACTAGTTGAAAATAGGGACAAAGTTACAAAGGAAGGATACTGAACAATTCTCATCAACTCAAACTGGTGTTTTTTGTCTGCTCTTTGTGCAGGCCCATTTTGATCAAGACAACAACTTCGATTTTCACAGATACATTAGAAGAGCTTTGGATAAAGACTTTGGAGTGGTGGTGGGGATAAGGTAGCCATCCTGATGATGAAAAATAATTTCCAATCTTGAAAGCTCACTATAATCACATTAAACCCAAACATTGGAAACTTAATTATTTGCCTAAATTTCTGTTTTTGCAGTTTCTGGATTTGGATGTTTGCTATTTCTTTCATATTCTTCAATGCACACAGTATGTTCAAATACACACTCACTTCATTTAATCAGATTCTATATATACCTGAATACACAGTGTGCCTAAACTTTTTGTCTATGTATGCGTGTAGAATTTTACAGTTATTACTGGCTTCCATTTATTCCATTAGTGGTAAGTAAATCGACTCCAATAATTACTGATATTCTTAAAAAAGATTCAAGTAATTGTGCGTGAAGAACCTGTATGTTGAACTTGGTGTTGTGTTTTGCAGATGTTGTTGCTGGTTGGGACAAAACTACAAGCCATCATAACTTTAATGTGCTTAGATAGCCATGATAAATCCCATGTTGTTAAAGGAACTTTACTTGTTAGGCCTAGCGACCATCTCTTCTGGTTTGGCAGGCCTAAATTGCTTCTCCAACTCCTACATTTCATATCGTTTCAGGTCATTCTTCAATCCCTTAACCAGTTTTTCCTTTTTTTATTTTTTTTTTGTTAAAACAGCACAGCAATTCTGTATATGTAAAGATAAAGAAAAGAAAAACTACATATATGGCTGTTTGAATCTATTCTAAATTGTATTTTGGGCTTTGCAGAACTCCTTTCAATTGGCATTCTTCACATGGACTTGGGTAAGCATTCATTGGTGATTTATTGTTTAAATTTTCTTCTAGTAGTTTGTTTGAAGGAAGAAAAATTCCCGTTCTAATGTTGCTTCAAAATTCAGTACAAGTTTGGGTTTAGATCATGCTTCCACCGACGAACTGAAGACATTGTCATAAGGGTTGTCATGGGAGTGCTGGTACACTTTCTCTGTGGCTATGTGACATTACCTCTATATGCTTTGGTCACACAGGTATGCATCTGCATATGTTAATGATCACCAGATCCTATATAGCATAAACAAATTTCATAGCATACAGAAAACACGTGATTAACCTAGAACTGCTACCATTACAGCGCGGTTATTCAACTAACTGTGATTATATATTCAAGAATTTGATTCTAAATGTGACTTGCAAAACAGATGGGTACATCAATGAGGCCAGCTGTGTTCACAGAAGATGTGATCGAAGGGCTGAAAAGATGGCGAGCGAAAGCTAGGAAAAACCTGAAAAATTCCTACTCAGCCCGCCCCTCCCTTGACACTTCACTTTCCCTTGACTCTTCACCTTCTTTCAGCCTGCATTCTAGACCCGAATAATCCATTGGAAAGTGATCACGCTGCTATTGAAGTATCGGAGGAAGCAGAAGACAATGCTGAGCAAGCCTCAGGAGCTTAAGAAAAGTGGTTCATTTGAAGGTTTTGATGTGGGCAACGCGGTACACCCTATAGAAAAAGAGAGCGATTCATGAGTACTCAGCAGCTATAATGCCCTTTTTGCTACAAGAGACTCTGTTGGCTGGTTGATTGTACAGTTGTTATTGTTCCTTCATTTCTTCTGTGCTTCTCTTAAATCTGAAGCAATATCGTATGTTTTTTCTGACCAAACTAGGCAATTTTGTATTCTGCCACAGATACATATTTCAAGTTTGTTGTTAAGTAAATAATACGGGCTTTTTATGCTCGAATTGCCCTTGTAAGTGTATTTGGTCATGGGAACAAAAGTAGCTGTAGAGGAGGTATTTTGACTGTACAACATGTCTTTAAATATCTTCTTCTTCTCGCCATTATCTTCCTTTTGAGTTTTGCAGGAACAAAACACAGCACAAAAAGGTATGAGAGATGCTATGAAGGGGAACAATCATTATATTTCTAATATTCTGAAGCACTCTTTTATTCCTTCCCTTTACAGGTATGAAAGTCTTCTGATTCGCTTCTTCTAAAAGAATAAGATAAAATTAATTGAAAAATATAAAGTTTACATAAAACAAATTTTAAAACGACTCGAGGAAAAAGTCTAATTAGGAACACAAATTAGATATCTAATATGCAAATTAATAGAGAGAAGTCTTAAAGCAATTGCCTTTATATTATATTAATTAATCAAACAACAAAACCATATAATAAAAGAATATGATGAAATATCATGATCAAAACCCCAAAGGGACCATAGATTTCTAGCAATTGAAAGCTAAAATTTTCAAAATTACATGACATAAGAAGCATAACAAGTTTAAGAAATCAAAACTAAAAAAAAAAGTTTAGAACCCAAAATTCAATAATTGCTTCTTTTTTTCTTTATTATTATTATTATCATCTTCTTTGGTTTGTTGTTGATAAGAAACAAGATTTCTTGAATCCATTGTATTTTTGTCTTGATTCTAGCTAAAGGCTGTTACAAATATTGATAATAAAAACTCTTGGATAAGACTCCTAGGGTCTTTCCTTCTTCAGTGTTATTTATTTTTACCTTATTAATTTTAAATTTTTTTTATATCTCTCTACCACATATCTACGCAGTCAATATGACTTCAGTTGTTGTGCTCTTTTCAACTATATTTTGCACTTGTGTGAATTTTAGTGGAAAATTAAAAAATTAAAAATTAAGTTCGAAGCTTCATCATACTTGAAAATTAAGTTTTGATTTCTGACTTTGTCTTCACCAATAAACTTGTACTGAAATAAAGATGAGTTTAGCATTGAGATCATAAAATTAAAAAGTGAAGTCATGCTCTAAATTATGATACCATGCTCGAGCAAATGCATATAATGTTGTCGAAAAGACATTGAACATAACATCGCTGTCTTGAGTTATAGGCTTTAAGATGCTTCACACATTTTATATATGCTTTATGGGGTCTATAAATCCATATAATTGTCAAAGTTAGCATTTATAGAGGCATAATAATTTTAGAGACAAATATGAAAAATTCAATGACGAAGTGAAAAACCTTCCACTTGATAGGAGGCGATGTTCATTCTTTAAGTTCATACAATTACTAATCTTATCATGGAGGGTTTTTTAATTGTTTTTTTTTTAATTTTTATGATGAGCATACAAGTAAGACTTAAAGGAGATCAATGGAAAAAGTCAGTATTCTAGTTAGGACTTGATCTAGTTTTTTTTATCATTAGAGTTCATGTCTGCAGTGTCTAGTTTGAGAATGCTCTTCATAGAGGAGACAACTTGTTTAAAGGATTGGAGCATGAGTGTTCTCATGCCTACTTTTTTGCATGTCACTCTAACCTATTCCTTCAGGAAATTGTTATTGTTTATATGCATTTAGTGGTGCATGTAATGTAGCTAGGTGTTGTGTTTCTCGTTGAGGGAGTGGAAGAGTGTGAAGTTATTATTGTATAACTATAACAACATCATTGAACACTTTTAGTTGATGGGTGATTTGTTGGAGATTTGGAGGAGTTGGTGTATTTACAGTAGAGAGATCGGTTACCATTCCATATCCTAGTTTTTCTAAGTTGTCATCTATATAAAGAATTGTTTGGTGAGGTTAGAAAATGGAATGAACAAGCTTATTTTAAAAATTCTCATAGATAGTGCCATTAACAAAATCGTATAAACTTCATATTAAATTTGAGCTTTTCAAGATTGTGTCTTGGGTTAAAGCATTTAGGATTGAACGTGAGCTTTATTTTTAGCCTTGATATTCTTGTAAAATAAATCTTTTTATCAAAACAGAAGACCTTACTTCCAATGCATAAGTAAGCAAATAATAGAAGGGAAATATTATATACGAAAAAGGAGAATAAAAGCATAATGAATGTATTTGTGATTGTTATGTGTTCTTGTATAGATTTTTTTCTTATGTTTTATGTGTATTTATCTAATGATCTATGATATTTATACACCTTGTTTGTATGAGCTTTACTCATGAAAAGTGGAGTAATGATGTAGGATAATTGTTTTTTCTTGAAGGTAACTTAAAAAACTAAGTTGTTGGTTATGCCACGTTGTCTTATTAGTGAGAATATTGACATTTAAGGGTGATTGGTGAGAATGGTATGCGCTATTGGAGAGATAGATTGGTAGGAGATTACCTTTCCCAAGAAATGTAGGCTTTTATTAAAGAGATAAGTTGTAAAGAGATGGTAAAAAAAGTAGGCATTGTACTAACAAATCATGTGTAAGCATAAAAAAAACTACAATACTATATTAACTTTGTAGTAACTTTGGTGTGTGCTAAAGTTATCGATAATGGTTGGAACAAGCCTCAAAATATAATTTATTATCAAGGGCTTAAATGATAGGATTGTGCATTAGAGTCTAGCTCAATCGTAAGACTCAAATGACAAGGGTGTCATTTTTGTTCTTCAGTGTATTATTAATTAGTACTGGAGATTTTGTATTTGTTGATGAGGTTAGGCATGGTGGAAGACAACTAATGGAATTTTTACTGTTTCTAAATGATAAAAGAAGTGGTTGCTTGGGAAGAGCCTCATGGCTCTTCATATTCATGGAGCTTCCAAATTTAACCTTGTCATGCTAGTTTTGAGGGCTTAATATGCGGTGGTGGTGGTTCCTAGAATGTAAATTTTATAGGTAATCTAGGAGTATGGTCAACAATCATGGGTGAATTATGAGCTTTATTTTATGTGTTAGATTTTTCTTAGATGAAAGGTTGCCTGCTGTAAGGTCTTGGTTCCATCAGATTTCCAAGATGTTATTTATTTATTTATTTATTTTTGTAATTGTGGGTGTCTAAGCTAGTTTATAAACACTTTGACTAATCCCAAATTGTTATTAAGATGCTTGAGAAGAGGTATTCGTTAAACATAACAATAAGATTTATCTTTACTTGTATCATTAAGGACCTACTAGATGAAGACTGATAGCTTATTTGAATTAACTTCTACATTTGGTAGTTGATGCTTTTGCTAATTTAGTAGTTAATGGTTGGTGTCAAAGAACCATCTCAATCTAGCTTAAGTTATTATGTAAGGTCCCAAGATATGATTTATATTATTCTCTAACACACCGTCTCAAGTGAAAGTCCTTTGGACTTGAAACTTATGCATGCCCATATTATCTTACGCTTAATTTTTATCAAATAAATAAAGATGATGAGATTCAAACTCGTGATTGTTTGGTTATCAAGACTTCAATACCATGTTAAGAAATCATCCCAACCTAATAGTTTAAATTGTTAGGTAAGGCCTCAATATATAATTTATATTATTCTTTAATAGTTGAGAGCCCGAGGTCTAATTTAGTGACCCTTCCTTCGTTACTTGCTCAATGTTGGTTGGGGATGTTTACTTGTGCTTTTTCTCGTTTACTTTGGGCTTTGCCTTATTAATTATCAACAACAACAATATTAATAAGGAGTTAGGTATTCAAAATTTATAATAGGCCTTCAAGCAAAATCATAATGTGAATTATTAGATTATGTTCAATTATAAAGGACCTAAATTGGTGTAATTAACTCCTAAAAAGGCACATGCTAATATTTGAAAGACAAAGAAGGATAATTAAAATCGTCCAAGAGATTTGAACGTTGAAAACACTAAACACTTGAATATCTAACCTTTTAAATATATTTAATACATAATTCTCAATAAATAACACTATATTTATAGAAAGATTATAAAATAAAGATAAATTCAAACCTTTATTTTTAACCCTTTGAGTATATTTAGTCCTTTATGATGTTCTTTTGTTTTTTTGATTTGAAACTTATATTTTACTGGATCACCTTTCTATTTTTTAGCACTCATTTTTTTTATAGGTTAGCAATATAGATATGAAGAATAAAAAAAATCCTAAAGGTAGCTTCTAGTTTGGCTACGGCGAGATCTATTTGAGGACTTGGTTTGCCTGCTGCTTTCAAAAGCTTAGATGTTGTTGAGGGTGAGCAATGTAAGGCAGCTGTTATGTTCAACAACTGTGTTTATAGAGTTAAAGAAAAGGTAAGGCCTCTATAGTATAACAGATGAACTTTTTCATAAATAAATTAATCCTTCCCATGAAAATCTTTAAATTGCTTTTTGAAACATTTTACGCCTTTATAAAATTTTGACTACCTAATGTAGTCATAGTTCTCTATTTTTAGGCAGATATGTATGGTACATGGTAAGGCTATTATTTGCTTAAATAATATTTTGTTTTTTAAATTTTTTTAATATTAAATTTATTAGAAATTGAATTTTTTAATTTATTATTTATAAGGTTATCTCAGTTTCATGATCTGGACCGCAAGTTTGAGCAATTGATTTAGTTGACTCGAATTTTTTTCTCTTTTTCCTAACTAACTTTGTTTCCTCAATTTCATAATCTAACATTGAGTTTATTGGAAATTAAACTTCATAATTTGTTCTGGTTTACTTTCTATAAGATTATACTCATCTCATGACTTGGGTCCCGTATTTGACAGATTAATTAAC